TTCAATGAAACTTCTAGGATTCCTGCAAGCTTTAGTTTAAATTTTTTATAAAATTTTCTCGTAGGAGTGTTTTTCGGGTAGTATAGGCATATTCTATAATCAGGAGGATGCTTCCCTTAGCAATTAGCGCAGGAGGGCTTTTCATTCTCGCTTTCAGTGCAAGACATTGATTCGTATGGACCACTACATTTGACGCATTTGTAACTTGGTAAATATTATTCTCTATGTCCAAATAGTTAACAGCTACGGCACAGGCCGATCCTCCCGCTTCCTTTCAGGGGTTCAGTCGACATGGCGTATACCCTATACCTTTAATATTATATATCCTGGCTCTGCATTTGTGCAACTTGACCAGTTGAAGGGAAAAAAATGACTTTGCTGTCTAAATGAGCCATTCTAACCACTCCAGACGGGTTCAACCCTGGAGACATAAAATAAGCCTTAACAGTTTCTGTATCCACATCTACGAAAATTTATATATGACCACTCTACGCACTTTTTTGCTAGGTAGCTGGTTTATATAACCTTTACTGGAGTTTCCGTCAAGAGTCCATGTCAGTTTTCGGTTGTCGATCTCAGAGACTAGATTCACATGACTTCCATTTCATCGGTGTTTGGCGCTTTATATATTTTGTCGTCGAGAATTGGTGGTTTAACTAAATTCAAAGATAGTTTATTCCGAATTATAATAGGAGGTATCCTATTAGTTATAGGTTGCCCTGGAGGATTTATCAATATAAAACGTTATTACCCATACTGTGGTCATTATTAGTTTTTGTGTGTTTAATGTGCTATTAGTAGTACTACTATAATTATTAGTATTGATATTACGACTAACATAGTCTTATCCACTACTTAATTTGTCCTTAAAAATTGTTTTAACGACTCTTAAGCTTGTAATCATTATAAAGATTGAATTTTTTTTTTTCCAATAAAATCATTATTAAAAGAAAGTTACTATTTTCAACACTACATTAGTGTAGCTTCAAATCCGGTTTTTTTTACTGTGATTACAGCAATTATAATTTTTATGAATATTGTTGTTGTTATGCTTAATACTGCCAGCTATTAAACCTAGAATGGTCTCTACTTTAACCCTGTCTTTGAAAACGTCCTTATAAAAAACAAGTTTAATCTAGAAGCTAGAGGGGTAAATAAGGATTGCTATTAATTTCAACTTTTACAGTGGTTGACCCAAAAGATTACTTGTCTCAACAATTACCATGTCACAAGTTACTGTCTCCAAGTGAGCTAATTTTGTCTTTAAAGTCTCTAGTTCTTTCCTAAGTTTGGCATTCTCGGTCAGCAAGTTAGTAATATTATTCCGCTGATTAGCAGTGCATGAAGAGTGACGCTATATTGTATCAGAGTAAAATAAAAGTTCATCTTAAAAAGATTTAAGAAGTTTAAGTTTTATGTATATTTAAATATCTATTAATGAAAGCGCTATATATTTAAATTATCACTTGAGTCGCACTACTGTAACTAAGTTCTAAGCTTTTACTACCAGATTTTCCTAACTAATAATTAATTATATTACTTTTTTGACCCACAGTAAGATATATGAAAGGTAATTGATTTAAAAAATTTTTGCTACTCAAAATTAAAATAATATTCTTCGCAACATAAAAAAACAATATTAAAGAGGCAACATGAGTTTAAAGTACTCATTTAGTGCAACAATGAGAATGAAATATCCTCCCAATTCTTTTTATAATGTAGCGCTGGTCTCTCTTTTAGGCGTTAATTAACATTATATTTAAAAAAAATATAAAAAATGGACACCCTTTCTTCTGTTTTTATTTTTGTATAAAGTAAACATATTTGAATCTTCTATGCCACTACTAAATACTTTTTAGAGACTGTGACTTTGTATTAGATCCTAAAAAAAAAGACAGAACTCAAACCTCTTTTAGTTATACACTGTTTCAGCACTCTTCAGCGAACTTTTCATGCGCTCATTTACGTGTAATTAATTAAACTTTACGAGGATTTGTCGATATAAAAAGCTCGAACTTTAGGAGTGTCCTGAGTTATTTTTATCTTCTTTGTGGTCGGGCGCCATTACTTGTCTTAATTCTGTTTTCTTTGTTATATTTACCATCTTTACAGCTTCCAATACTATCTCATTGGTTGTAGGAGCTTCCCATTCATCTTCGAGATCGAGAAAATTGTGTCAAGAAAACTATTATAGATAGTTATCGATAATCATAGGCATATTAAGTAATTCCTTAAATCTGGAAGATTACGGATATTTTCTTATTTTACTATTAACCTAATCTTAATAGTTTGTAACTCTCTTATAAACTCACTAGTTCCTCACGATTATTTTTACACCCCTCTCCAACTCCTGTTGTTGGAGGCATAAGTTTCATACGTGTGTTTTTTAGTATTAATCTCACTGAAACTTGTTGTTGCCTCAGCTTGCAAAGGGCAGACTTAAAAAAACCTGAGTTCTTTTTACTTATCAGCGCCGTATTAAATTCAAGAGGGGCAAAAAATGTAAGGGTTTAGTATAACAAAAAGTCTTAAGAACATAAAAGATCTTACAGAAAAGGAAATACAATATATCAAAGTGCCTGATGAAGTAATATTAGGAAATTGTGATGTAGAAAGTAAAGAAGCACAATTTCCATGACCTATTGTATAAGAGACCTAAGAGGGTTGGGCTGGGATGGCGTGAGAGCAAAATATATTGTTGGACTGACAAAAGAATTTTTGCGTTTAGATGGGACCCCACAGCGTCATTAAGCTGGAACATTTTAAGGTAGCATTAAAGAGCAATATGCAAACCGCTTGAACGAAATATGCAATTTAAGATAAATATAAAGTCTTAGTTGTTACTAGGAAGTGTGAAAAATTACTAGAAGTCGCTTTTTTATAAGAAACTTAAAGTTGAAATTGGATTCTTATACAGGTAATGATTTAAAAACCTGAATTACAAAAGAGGTTCTTTAGAAAAATTTAAGAAGGAATTTGAAGGTATATGCGTATATGTGACGCATCGCAAGGTCTAAACAAGAGGTATGCAATAAAACGTGATCGTGTACCGAACGAACGATTTACTAATTTTAAAATGAGAAACAGTAAAGTTTTTAGTATTTTAGACAACGCAAAAGGGATTTAACGCGCTTTTCATTAAGATTATCAAAAAATGTTAGTGCAGCTGCAATGCAGACGGCAGAAGAGTTTAACACGGTATCGCCTTTAAATTATTTCAATGCGCCTTCCAAATATTAAAAGAAAATTACTGCTGGGTCAAAATGACACATATTTATGTAAAAGATGGTTTTGTTGTTACTTGAGAGAGAGAGAAGCACTTTCGAAGGTTATACCGTTTATTAAATGGTTTGAAAAGTTTACCGTCGCCTAGAATAATGTACCTTTGCTAAGGGATAGAGTTCGGCTGGGGAAGGAGCTTACCGGTTTGGGAGGGCAAATGGAAAAAAAAGAGCAAAATTATAGTTTTTCACAATCTTAAAATTTTTGATGTAATTATGTATCATATCCCGCTATTTTAGTTGAATCGCTCAGTCGGTTGGCTAAAGAAGATTAGAATAAAGTGAAAATAGTAAATAAAAGCTATTATGTTAGTTTTCGTAATTATGCCAGTAATTTTTTCAAAGAGGATTAACACAATAAAACCTGTACTGAGTAATACATTTTGAACACAGATACATTCCTGGTAAGGATAATGTAAACGCGAATATGTCCTCGCGTATGCGGTCCAAGTTATTTGCTTGTCCATGAAGTAAATACCTTAAAGAAGATTAAAAAATCATAACTACGAAGAGGCTAAGTGGTTACCAGGAAACTGGTATTGGGAAAAAAGTTAATAATGTGGGAATTGCCAACGATCTGGTAATAAATACAAGAGGTGCCGAAAATATTTCTTGATCTTATAACACTTTAATACAATCTCTTGGTGTGTTACACTTCTTTTCGTCTTCAACTATAACTATGTTTTCTGAATTTCTCAATGTAAATATACCTTTTTTGTAAAATTTTGTTTTATAGTCTCATTCATAAACCTTACTCCTGTTCCTCTGAGAGCCTTTTTAAATTATTCTTTAAAATATGGGCTTGAAATTACCGGGTCATTACTTTTTTGGATATATATTGGCTTAATTAAAGTATGCAACTTAAACTTTTGAATGTAGGTGAGACAGAGTGGATTTGAACATGCTTTTGTTACACAAGCCAACTCAGAAGACAAACTCCAAGCAAAAAAGTAATAAAAAAGATTGGAGCCTTATAATAATAATTTGGTTTCCTGTAATTGTTATGCTACAACATAAGAATTATTACTTAACAGCTCTGAACCGTTAGCTACTTAGTTTCTACTTTAATTATTAGAAAATGTTTATCTTTGAAGTTCTATTTTACTTTTTATTACAAAAATAATTGATTACAAACTGATATTATAAAAATAAAATTATTGTTATTAAGCGATAAGATAGCTAGAAACGATGCTGGCCATCGCTTTTTTTCGGTTCTTGTAAAGTAAGCATTGAAGCTTATCCGAATGAAAGAAGATAAAAAATACATATTAAGTAAATTAAGTATAGTATTACGTTAAAAAAAAATAAAAACTCGGCAAGAAGTTGCTTTTTTATAAAATAATAATAGTTACGCGAGAGGGTCCTTTTTACGCCAAATCGCATTTTTCTGGTGATTTCATGTACAACTGTACTACGAACAAAATTCTGAAAAGTTATAAGTACGCTGCTCTAGAACTGAAGGCAGTAAGACCTTAAAAACACAAGGGTATAACAGGAGTTGTATACGTAATTTAACAGCAGGGAAAGTGGGTTGCCGCATAGCTCAGGTGTTAGAGCATTGTCGCGCAGTCTCAGGGACTCGGTTTCGGTTCTTGTTAACGCCAATTTGCATTTTTCTGGTTTGGTGGTTACGTGTTAAACTTCCAACAAACAAGATTCTGACTCTTTTGCTCTTTTTCTTAACACATTTGGAATAACGGTTGCTACAATTTGGTTTATCACGTTTGTAAAAGTAATTTCGTTGGATGCGTTTGCTCTTGCTCGTATCGAACTTTTTGTAGAGACTACTGGGGTGAATTGCTATGGGTTAATTTTTAAACGGAATTATGAGGAGTTGAGTTAATATTTGCTCGGTTTTTTTTAAAATTCAGGTTTAAAAATGCTTAAGAGGATTCAGTTAATTCTAGGAACCATGTCTTTTGGTTTTGACTTTTTTTCTGTTCCCAAGTTTGATTGTTAAAAATAAAGCGGAAGGAATAACTGCATAATAAAACTTAACACTTTTTACATTTTATTTTTTAGGTTATAAATATTCAAAATTTTTTTTAAACACTCTCATAAATACATCTTGACTTGCTTAAATTTTTAACTTTAATTTAAAAAAATAGTTCACTTTGCCTTTTTTTAGAATCAATTCATTTTATTTTAAGAGTTTAACTTTCTTAGCTCACTTATGATTTTATTCATTTACTTCAGCAACTTAAAATGCCTACAATAAACTAATTACTTTTTTTTAATAAATTATTTGTTACAATTATTTTGTATTACGTACGAGCTTTATAGTAAGATACTTATTCCTACGCCCATTTAGACTGCTCTTTATTATTTTTTTTAAATATATGTTAATACCTCTTCTGTTGATTTTCTCGTATTACTATAATATTTAGGTGCTCTAATTAAGAATGAGGAAGACCTTATCAATATACTAGAAAGTTTTATGACCTTTAATTCGGCGGCTGATTATGTGCAAATCGATACTGCTCGACTTTATGGAAGTAAATAAAATTATTTTTAACCGAATCTCTTTTGGGTTTTTTTAATTTTTTTTTAATACTTTTTTGTTCATACTTATTGAAAATTTCTATATGTACTTGTATATTATTGCACATTGCTTTATACCTTCTTTTAATTGGCAATAGTGCTACTTTACATTTTATAATTAAATTTATTGTTTCTACTCTAACTAACTTATTACTTTGTTAATTTCGTTAATAGCCGGTTCGTTTTTAGTTTATAAAGAGCTTGTTTATAGTGAGACGTCACTATTTATATGTGAGAGCTTTTTAAGTTAAATTTAAATTTTTTTTAATTATTGTGCGTAACGTCTATTTAAAAACTTTTAACTTTAAATTCGAAATATTCGCTAAATTATAACTTCTAATTTTTCTAGATGGAGAAACGGAAAAGGTTTTGGGAAGAGTTATTGAGCGTTTATATTCTGAGGATCGTTTAAAAGTTCATTATATAAATTTATTAACTTTTTAGATTGAAACTTATAAGTAAAAAATGGTTATTAACTTTTATTACGATTTTTTAAGTTAATAGCAACATTCATAGTACTTTATATATTATTTGTTCATTATAGTTTTGCATCATAATTTATTTAGTAATTCTTTGAAATAAAGTTTCTACTAATGGCAAATAGTAAATATTTAGTATTTTCTTTTTTTTTTTTTATACTTTATAAATGACTATTGCTATATTACTCTGTATGTTAAATATATTATATAAGTACCTTAAACTTATAAATTTTGTTTGTTTTTTTATTTATTTATTTTTACTCCCTCGATTTTTTTTATTATATAATAACAACTGTTAATTTACGATTATTAGACTGACTTTGCTTAACTCTAGCTCGATAATAAATTATTTTTTTCAGAAGTGTTTGAGAGAAAGAATTATTCGAAGTTAGTAGTTATTGACTTTTTACTTTGTTAGCAGAAAATTTTGATAGCTACGAAGGCCAATCCTTTTACGCCCGACCGATGCTTAAGCCACGTGGGAATAAACCAACAGTTTTCTGAATCTCTTGAGAGCCTGCGAATGAATAGAGTTGACCTGTTTTACCTTCACGCTCCCGATCCACGTGTGCCTATAGAGGAAACGCTCGAAACCGTTCAGTCTTTTTTTTCTTTGGGTGTGTTCACTTGCACTGAAATGCTTTTACAGGAGATTTATTTAAACATTTTTACTTTCAAATTTTATTTAGTTAAAATTTACAATTTTTTTATCCGTCGTGAATTCAGTAATCTTGTTTGTTCTAATATTAGGATTATAAATTTTTAAAAGTTTATATTTTAAAGGAAAGTTGAGACGATTTGGTCTTTCGAATTTCACGGCGTGGGAAACAGTTTATATATACGAATACATGAAAGCGCGTGACTGGGTTCGGCCTACTGTTTACCAAGGCACGCGGAGTTCTACTAACTTTATAACCTTTTTATTAATTTTTATAAAAGGGATGTATAACGCTATTACCCGCAGTGTCGAAGATGAACTTTTTCCAGCTTTACGGAAATATAATATGTATTGCTCTTGTTATTATTATTCTTTTCTTTGATTGAGAAAAAAGTTTTTTTTAAAGGTCTTTTTATGCTTATAATCCGCTCGCCGCTGGTATGCTCGTTGGAAAATATTTATCTGAACATGAACTTGATAAGGGGAATCGGTTTTCATCATTATTGCTACTGCTATAATTAAAATTTGTTATTAATAATTT